GGCTTCCTCCTCTCCAGGCGGTGACCACACGCAAACCTGCGTCTGTCACTGTCCGAGCTCAGCCCTGACCTCAGCCCCGCCATTTCCTGCACCTGCAGGTCTCCCCTTCCCTGGCGGCGGTGGTCCCCCCACTGCTGTGTCTGATGGAGTCTGTATGCGCTCCTGGGCTCACTAGCTCAGGCAGCGGCGCCCCTGGAGCTGGACGCTTCCGTTTCTCCTTGACAGTTCGCTCTTTTTCCGAGTGCGTATTTCAGCATCAATATTTTTTTCTATTTTCCAAACCACGCAGCCCCCAAGATTGTTAGAACGTTACGCAGGGAGGGCTTCCTGAGGCGAACTCCCTGGACCGTGTGGCCACTGCCGTTTCTCGGACTTGGGGGGCATCTCACAGCTGGAAAAAGCAGCCACAGAAAGCAGAGGAGAGCCCTGGGTCTGGAGGCCCTTTCCTGGAATCCTGTTGGCTCTGTGGCTGGCGCGGTGGCCCGCTGCGGCTGTGTGTGCCCTCTCCTGCGTACGGCTTTGTCGGCGTCTGTCCTCTGCTCAGAACGTGCTCCTGCACGGGTCCCAACCCACTGACCCACCCCCCTCCTCTTCCAGGCTCTCCCCACCTGCCATGAGCCCCACTCTGGTGCAGCCCCGTGGCCTGCATGGGCGCCCTCATGGCAGCCATTTGCACACCTTGTTGGCGTGGCACACCAAGGGCCCCCTCCCTCCAGGACTGTGCCCTCACACCCAGGATGGTGCATGGGCCACAGAATGTTCCGGAAAGTGCTGTTGGGGCCACACTGGGTGACCGCTGGAGTCCCAGAGTCAGCCTCCACGGTGAGGTTCAGCGGAAACAACAGCCGCTGCGTATGTCACAGCTGGACCCCTTCATCCCAGTGTCATATTTGAAGAAGGCCATTGGCCAGCCAGAGGCCAGAGGACCTGCCGGTCACAGGAGGTCTTCGAGCAAAGACTTGCTGTTTGGCTTGGAGAAGCTGAAAGGGAACTTGACGCTACCTCTCAGATGTGTGAAGACCAGCCGCACGGAAGGCACAGCCCTGTCACCGCTGAACAAGGACAGTAGGTGGAAGTGACAGGGAGCGAAACGAAGCATGAAGGAGAAGCCCGCAGTCCTCACCAGTGGAACTAAAATCCAGGGCTGGCCGCCTGCAAGGTGGTGAGCTCCCCTCCCTGCGCACTTCCCAGGGCTCCTAGGAAGACTGTGGGTGTCTGCGGGCTGGGAAAGGGGAGCCAGGATGGCCTCAGGGCTGGGACAGCCTGGTTTTCCGTGGTGGCTGGGGGAAGCCAAGACCTAGACCAGAGCCACCCATGTGGGAGGGCAGATCCCGCAGCGAGGATGGGCACTGGCTGGTGCTGAGCCATCCGTAACCCAGGCACGGATCTAACACAGTCACGGAAGCATCCGGGACGCCAAACAGAGGCAGGCGTAGGAGCCAGGAGGTGAGGGACAAGAGGCACCTGGAGAACCATGGCCCATCCTGCCCGTGGCCCAGCCTGCCCGTGGCCCAGCCTGCCTGAGGCCCAGCCTGCCTGAGGCCCATGCCCATGGC